TGAAATTATCACTTTATCTGATTTTTATGGGGTTTTTTCCTACTAATTTTAATTTTTTACTTCCATTTCACCATCTGGGTGCTACTTTCAACTTGACACTGCTATCTTTAGCTTTTAGCTTACGTTTTGCGCAACAGGCATTCACCCTTGCATTTTCATAGGAAATGCAAATTCTCTAGTTATAAATACAGTAAGTTAAAGTTGGGAGTAATCTACCAAAATTGGGACAGGTGTTGAGCCACTGACCACAAAATCAGAAACCAACCTGTGTGATGCACAGTGTGAAGTAAGACATTTAGAAAACTTTAAACAGGTTTTTCAGTTTCTCCTTAGGATCTTATTTATCCTTTTTTTTTTTAATTTATTTTTTTTGGTTACAACTCTCAGTAAAGACTCTTTTTGTCATGCTGGACTGAATTTAGTGGTTGTATAAATTATGATGAGCAGCACAAACCACAGCACGAGTAGTGACAGCACTGACACCAAACATCTTTTAAACTGGGATCCTACACAGTTATTCACAGTAAGGCATGGATATTTTACAGGTCTGGAGAGGTAACGAGAAAAGAAATCAAAACTCCACACTCTGTGTTGAGTTTCTAAACGCAAACATATAGATAAAAATCTAAATATTTAAAAGTTGCTTGAGCAATATCATAAATAAATGAAAAATGATGTCATCACTTGGTGGCCAACTTTAATACAATTTGTTACATAATACAAAAATGAAATGACTTGCATTGTTTAGAAGACAAGCACACGTAAACCCATTAATAAAAACTTTAATATTTTTCATTTTATCAAACATGAATGCTGGGGTGTTATTAATTTAAATTACAAAAAACTTGTAACATCTTCTTCCCCCACAAAAACAAAATATATATATATATATATATATATATATATATATATATATATAACCTATTTGGGCCACAATGAAATAACTGTTTTCATTTTCTTGTGTTATTCAAGTATTTATAATGTTTGTATTAGGGTTGCGCAAAATTGTATCATGTGCAGTTAATCGTCAGAAAAAAATCGAATCGGTTATTTTTTTTGTCATTTGATGATCAATACGATTAATGCCACCAGGCAGACTGACTGGGAATTTCTCAAGTTTGCCCGCTTGATGCTCCTCTCCACTTCAAACATGACAAACTTTAGTTTTTAGTTCTGTAATTTATTTATCATAACTCTGTTTTACTTGCTTTATCAACACAATCTAAAATTTGATGTATAGCCTGAAGTCTGTACCTTTGACACATTTTTATGGAAAGCAAATCTTTCTCACTAGAATGGTTTAAATTTGTCATGTGAGCAGCGTATGCAGGCATCCAAGGACTCCAGGGGATTACGTAATCGTCATATTAATCATTATCAGCTAAATAAATACAATTTATTGTGATCAATATTTTGCCAATTTTGCACAACCCTAGTATGTATATGCATTATTTTTACAAAATAAATTAAACAAAACATAAACAGGCCATAACCCTGTTCTCCAATAAGTTTTTTTCTTCACAAGTTGTTGCAATGTAAACCAATTATAAAAAATGTATATTTGTAAATGAAGAAATGACCGTTCTACACGCTGTAACTCAGCATTAGAAACGGTGCTAACTCTACATATTACAATAAACTTACTGATGTTTCTCAGAAGTTGACAGAAAACTTAAATTTTGCAAAATATAAGATTTCAATTTTTTTTAATGTGTAGGAGCCTGATAAAAATAAGCACCTACTGTTATAAATATTATGGTATATGACTAGATTGAAATGTTTATACTTTTCTCAGAGTGAAATAAAGCAAGAAAATGTCTTGTTAGCTTCAAAACTTTAAAACCGCTGCAATAGAAAAAAGTTATTAATACATTGTACAACAATAATGAATATGTTTTAGCACCCTGTGTTTGCAGTTTACACCTAAAGTCCAGCAAGAAGACGTTTTTGATACATCTGGCCAAACAACGCAGAGCCAGTTTACTTAAAGCTCTTTGTTTGGAGAAACGTGGAGCTTCTGAAGCGACGCAGCTGTCGGCTTCAACACAACAATTCATCTGTCTAGGCTCGAACTCATCGCACGAGAACACAATGCTAAACACGAGCGCGCGCGCACTCACCATCCGGATGCCGAAGTGTTTCTCCACTTTAGTCAAACTTTGCACGGACATGTTTACGCCAGCCGAAGTAAAACAGCTCCCATCCGGAGCACGTTTCACAGACCGAGCCCTCGGTTCGGTACCGGGACTAGCTTCCGACTCGCGCCTGGACTCGTACCCATGTTTAGCCTCTTCAGCCCGGGCTCTTTCTGTCCCCCTCTGACACACATACACAACACTCACACAAACACGCTGCCTCAGTGTGAGACTCCGCCCACTTCGTCTCTGCAGAGAGGAGGGAGAGGAGGGAGGGGCCTCAGTCAGCAGCGTGCTGATAAAACCAGCATTACGCCTTCGTCACACACAGCAGAGCAATAGAACCACCTTACCTGACTCATATAAAAACAGGTCTCATCACTATGAGGCTCCATGTTTGATATTAATAGGAAAGATCAGAGCTTTTGAAGTGGGGCGCAGTAGGAATCAGCCAGACATTTATTTTGTTTTTTTAATGTATTTATTTATTATTTTTATTGTTATTCTTTTGGTGGTATCAGTAAAAATGATCAGTCTTGATAAAGCCTAATATTTTTTCTAACTTTTTTTTTAACTTAAAACTCTGCTTAAATGCTTTGGTAAGTTTCACTACCTTTACCAACACATTCAAACCCATTATAAATGTGTGTTGTTGTTTTTTTTTTTTTTTTTTTTTTTTTTTTTTTTTTTTTTTTAAATCTCATAACTAAAAGAATGAATTCCTTTCAGGTACAATGAGTTTTTACATTCCCAAAAATTCAGGCTGGAATTTAAAAAAAAATGTAAAAGTCAAAAAGTTCATTAAAAGTTCAAAGGGAGGGAAAAAGATGACGCTCCTGCAAGCATTTTCATTAAATAAAAATGTCTACTGAACAAAACAGAACTGTGTCATTACAGAGCTTTACATTGTTTACACTTAATAAATAGCCTTATAGCCTAGACTGAGTTAAAATATTGACTTACGGTGGTCAAATATATCAATAAATGGTATTTTTTGGTAGTTATATAAGATAGTTTATTGTCATAAAGTTAAAGGACAATTTTAAGAGTTAAAGAGATAATCTTGTGATGTTTGGTCAAATAATTCTAAACAAATAATGTAAAAATGGCCCAGTATGGCTAACCATTAGCCTAGCCTGGAGGAAATAATGGGGTTATCCGTTTTGTTTAAATCGTGAAAACAGTATTATGCACAACCTCGTGGTATTGTGAGGTGAAAAATCACTTCTTCTGGTCCAAAAGTGAACTGCCGTTGATCTCGGATAAAGAATGACTCTGGATTCAGGCTGGTTTGAACAGCAAGCAACTTTATTACTGCAGATCAAAAATACAGCCTAAGATCAAATTGTGGCCTTCAGCCAATTGATTTCTCCAGTGCGAAAGTCGGAGAAAGAAAGGCCCCGAGGTGGGGGTGTACAGAGGTTTTCAAGCAACAGATGTACATAAATCACGGTGTACCTCAAACGTTGTCCTAAAATGGTGATGTGTGTGGAACTCTGAAGCTGAATGGCTGATGAGACACACATGTGGGCATTCCTGAGACAAACCTGAGAAAAAAACCCACCTTGGGACACTACAATTGCAAGGTGTAACACTTAGAATATGTGTCATGTCTGACTCTCAGCTACCACCAAATCAAGTTTTAGCTCAGTATCTGGAAAATGACTTGATTTATAACAATTTTTGTGTTGGCAAATGTTGATTAGCTGTGACAACCATCTTAAATTGGATTAGCTTCAAAGGTAATTCATTATAGATGCACATCCGATGATTGCTTTCTGAATGTTTCATTAAAAATTGCCCAGTGGTTCATCAGATATTTTGCTTATAGACAGGGTTGACACCAACAGTTGATGCTAAATTAAAAAAAAACTAAAATAAAAGTCATGTAATGATAAGCACTTGGGTTATGTGTTGTGAATTATTCTTTTACCACACCAAATCTTAGTTCAACATGTGCCTTATGTGTTTACAATACACTGATATTTCATTATCATCCATTACGTGAGTCTCACTCACTGAGATTCTTGCTGGTTTTACCTTGAACCAGTTCTGTCACATTGTGCAACACTTTCACCAAAACCCTTTTGGAGCAGTCCGGCCACCCAGGAGGCCATGGGCACCATCCAACCAGTTCTTTCATTCCTATTCATTCAGTCTGGAATGAGCTAATCTGCCTAAGCTGAAACACACCAGCTTCTGTTGCATCACAAATCTACGACTCTTTGTTTTTGCAACTCTGATATGTGTGGACAGCTCTCCAGGCATAGGCTTGACTAGAAATCTTTTATAGGGGCACCTGAGACCCTCGCACTCACTTTCTAAATGTTTCATTAAAATCTGTCAAGTGGTTCATCAATACACACAAATCCACAAGCAAAAACCTAACTGGCCATTTGCCTTTGGGTGAATTAAAAGAGGGCGTAGAAAAATTTGAGTCCCTCAAATTTAATAAGTGTGGTATTGCAAAAAGAAAATCTGAGGCACATAAGCTCATGGCCTCCCTTTTATTTGGTTCTGACCCCACGTTGAAGAGATGAGTGTCGCATTCTTGGTTATTAAGCCTTTATTGTTCCAACAGGGTAAAATAAAAAGCTACTGGTTATTCTCCACTATGGACTTCTAAAAACAGCAGCATCATCCTTTTTTTTTTTTTTTTTTGCTTGTTTAAATGCTCTCATCAGTGCCTTTAATTTGTTGGATATGTTTACAGCGTAACTAAAGCAAAGGAGCGCTTACAGACACTGTCCTCTGTTCTGTAGAGCCCCAATAAAAAATTCATCAGCTAATAACACTCGCAGGTTAGTCTCGGCCCCCGTACAGCACCCAGGAACAACTTCCACCTCCACGTCACTTGACACGAAGCCCTACAATGAGTCTCCAGGGTAATATAGAGATTCTGAATTATTCACACAGAGGGAGCATGTAAACAACCTTCGGTTTATGGAAGCGAGGTCCGATTCTGAGAAGCCTGATTAAAAGCTGCATAACAAACACTGATGGCTCAATTTGCTTCTGTCGGCACCACCGTGTACTTAAAGGCAGTTCTTTATCTTCAGGTTTATATTCTGGGGCAGCTGTGATGGAGTGGTAAGGGGAGTTGTCCTGGAACCGGAAGGTCGCTGGTTCGATCCCCCGTCCAGCCGTTGTATCCTTGGGCAAGACACTTCACCTGCCTTGCCTTCTGATAGTGGTCAGAGGGTCCGGTGGCACTGCTGCATGGCAGCCTTGCTTCTGTCAGTGTGGCCCAGTGCAGCTGTGGCTACAATGTAGCTTACCATCATCAGTGTGTGAGTGTGAATGGGTGAATGTCTGTAATTGTAAAATGCTTTGGGTTCCGGAGGGACTTGATAGAGCGCTGTATAAGTTCAGTCCATTTACCATTTATAATAGACACGTGAAGCTTTCAGGCCAAACTAGATTTGGACAGACAACCCCATAGCATGATGCTGCCACCACTGTGTTTTACATTGGGGGTTGTTATTGCTCAGTCTTTTAAAAACAGTGGCCATTAAGTTAAATTTTGGGTTCATCAGCCATAACACATTTTTTCTCATGCCTTTAGATGACTTGATTTTATTTGTAATATTTAGCTGTGTTAAATATTTTGTGTATTTTATTCATTGTTATTGATTGTAATAATTTAAACAGTAAGAGAATCAACAAGTCTATTTAACACGTGCTTTGCTCCAACTGTATAAAAACACAATGTTTTACATTTCAGGAATGCAGAGTTGTTTTAAGGATATTTCTTTGATTATTATGACATCATACATGGGGTGTGACCAGGTTTTATAAAACACTGGACTCATGAGGGGACCACACAGCCTTGTGGTAATTTTTACACATATGCAAATAAACATTTAATTCTGAGCACTGGACCTGTTCCCTGCACCTGATTTGGGCTCTAATTGTACATGGTTCCTTTCAGCTGGAATGTTTACTGAACAACTAAAATATCACTCTCTATCTTTTGTTTGATTTGTCAAATATGTCTCAGCTACGACACCGTTAGTTAATAACTTTAAACTTTGTCCTTTTTGTTTGCTAAGGTTGATTAACTGTGGCAGCCATCTTGAATTGGGTCAACTCCAAGTGGTAACCAGTTATTGATGTACTAATGGTTATATAAGGTAGGCAAGAGTTTCATTAAAACTCATCCAATGACTCATGAAATGTTTCACCAACAGACAAGAAATTATACTTTGCACAAAAAGTAAAGAAAATTTGTGTTTGTTTAGTTTTTTGTTGCAACAATGCTTCTTGGCAATACATTTTATGATTGGCAGCACCTGTTGGTACGAAAAGCTTAAAACAAGTGTGAACATAACAGCAAAATAAGCTGTTTGGCTGAGATTTGGCAAATTTTTCATATATGCAACCCACACTCAGCTCTATTGCTCATCCCACAAATGCATGTTCCTTGCAAATGTGGTACCATTTAAAAAGAAATTTAACAGGCTTTCCAAACGTATATGATTTATTACCAAGAAGCAGTTTTCTTTATTTCTTTATGACCTGTCTTTCATAAGGGTGAGCCTAAGTTGTTTATAGAATAAGCTATCCTTTTTAGTCAACTGAAAAAGGAAGTAGAAAAACATCACTGAAATATTATTTATTTTCAAATGACATGATCATCTTTTTCCAGTCACATTATCCAAAACGATGTAATCCACAAATTACCAGATGCTGTTTTTTTTATAACCTTCTTGTTGTATTTTATATACAAATATATATATACAGGTCATTCAGAACCATGATGCCAAATATTTGACAAGTAATGCTGTCAATCCTTTGGACTGACAAAACAAATAAGAAATTCAAGTGATAACGTCTCACAAATCAATTCATATCCCCCCCCTCATGGTTACTTTAAAATAAAAAAGCCTTGCCATTTAGGAGAAGCTGATAAAAAATAAACATGCTGCTTCATTCAAAGTACAAACATCTTAGGAAAAAGAAAATGCTTGATGGCTATGACGCATACTATTCAATAAAAAGCTAAAAAAATCTGCTTTGCAGGTTTCAAGGACTGACTCCGGATTGTGTTGATCTGGTTTGTCCTTCATGAGCTGAGCTCTATATTTTAGTTACAGGAAAGTCAGATGTTGGGGAAAACAGAAATCCAGAAAGGACAATGAGTCATTGTGTGTTATAACCATTCGCAAACTGGTTTGATGGGTTCTCCGAACAGTTAACCGTCGAGCTTTTACAATCCAATAGTGCTTTTGACAAATGGCTCAGTTTGTCAGATGCCAGAAACTCCTTGGCTGTTATAGTCAGTGGATTCCATTTTGAGGATATAAGGGATGATGCTGTCAATCTGCACGTTGCCAATGAGCCCAGCGAAAAACAGCTCCTCCGTGACAGCTGCACTTATTAGCCTGAGGGCCGGAAGACGCAGCAACAGCTTGGATAACCTGGGAGCAATTAGGCAAGGAGGAGATACAGAAATCAAAACATCTGTGACATCAGCACCAATCTGTTCTACTTTAATCAGCACATCTGGTTTTATGTGGTGGAAAGGTAAAGCTAACAAACCGATAAGAATCTTCTGGGTACGTCCTTGTAACGTAGTCCTGCAGCTCCATGTAGGCTTTTTCCTGGAAACTCTCAATCTGGGGGATATTCTCTACGCCCGGGTGATCTAACGCAACAAGAATGCAAGTATGAGGAAGGAAATAGCACATCTGCACACATAGTTCTTTTAATTCGTGAAGGAATGGTTATCACCCAACACCATTCATGCCAGAGTTTTACACTGAGGTCATCTGAAGATGAGAAATTATAAAGTTGAAAGCATTTTGGTCAAACCTTAAATATATGATGTGTGATGTCACGTCACACTGAGATGTAACTCTTAAAGTATGTGTTGTGGAGAAGGCTCAGCTACAACCACAACCGAGGCTCAATGTCAGTGCAATTGATAGGAGTTCAAGCCATTTTTGTGTTCCCCAATGTTGATTAGTTGTGGAGGCCATCTTGTATTGGACTGACTCCAGAGATAATCAGCAGCACATGTTAATCCAGTGATTATTTTCTCAAAGTTTCAGTGACATTGAGAATCAGTCTCAGTTACTACCACACCAAATTTCTGGTCATGGTCTGCTAAATGAACCGCGTTATAACATTTTTTGTGTTTTTTAAGGTCAGTTGGCTGTGGGAGCCATCTTGAATCAAGCTGACTCATTAAAGTTTATCAGTTAGATGTACATCTAGTGATTACTTTCTACACATTTCATTCAAGTTTGTCCAGTTCTTCATTAAATACTTTTGTGACAGACACAAACAAAAACAATACTATCCACATCAGGTGATAATAAAATCTCTTCCACACACCCGGACTAAAAAGCACAATGGCTTTGAGGTAGGCATATTCATAAGAGTCTGGGGACAGTTTGGACATGCTGTTACAGAACTCCTGCATCCTCCATATGTGCTCCATTACTAGTTTTCCTCTCTCTGGAGACAACTTGTCTAAACAAGACAAAAAAAACACATTTAGAAGACATGAAAGACGTAGAAGATTGGAACAGTTAATCAAATTCAATAAATTTGTGCCACAAACTAAAAACTTGATTTTATTTATTTTTTTCAACAAATAAAAACTGCTGGTTTGTATAAGCATCAGTGTTTTTGCTTCAGAAATGACTCCTGTAATGGAGCAGAGCCCTCCTACCTTCCTGTAAGCTGGTCTGCAGATGGTTGATAATAGCACTTAGGATGGTACTAACATTCATAACATTAGAACACTGCGCCAGACCCAGGGCAAAGAGTTCATTCCAACAGGCTTTCATCAGGTTAATGTCATTATCTTGACCACTGTTGAGGAAAATAAAGTTACTAATTTCATTTTAAAAAGGAGCAAAGACACAACAGAAACACCTGACATTTCCATATTTACATGTAATAAAGTTAATGTTTTTATTTAACATCTGTGGGGGTAAATGAAACGTTGAAAAAAAACTTACCTAAGGGTTTGAAAGGCAGGTATGGAGCGCGCCCAGTGCATTGAGAGAAAAAGTAGCCGGGACGCCGACTCACAAATATAGTTGACATTGAGGTACTCTGGCACAGGCAAAGGCATCATAAGCTGTAGAGAAACAGTAATGAAGATAAACCATGATGACAGTGTCAATATAAAACACAGCACATTTCTAGAACACAAGCTGTGATTTAGTTCAACAGGGAACGGTCAGGGTCAGCTGCTCTGCTTTTACTTTGAAAGGAATATGGCCGTCCGAGAGCAAAGGTCCGTCCAGCTCCACCAAAGGACCCGACTGGTCTGCCGACATCAGGTGCATTGTTGTTTCCAACGACTCCGCTGAGCCGTCACCAGGGTGGAGAACTTTGGCCAACGTGTCAAAAGCTCTGAATAGCAAACAAAAATAATGTTTAAATGAGAAAAACGTCTGGATTTGACATATACTTTAGCTCACAAAAGAAAAAAAAAACACAAATTGAATTTCTACAGCACAAACATCGACTATGTACAAATCTTATTAAGTCCACGACTGAAGTCAGAAACCACATGGCCCAAAAGCAAATACTATTAAAGCTTCATGACAAAAATTAAACACAGCCCACAGGGCTTCCATCTTGTGCTTCTGCAGACCTCAAGTAAACACACCAAACAGTGTAAGAAAACCACCACTGGTCCAGATCAGAGCCTTCTGATTCTTTCAGACAACTCGCACCTTGTGATATCATTTGCAGTCTGATCGTCGCCTTGAATGTCTGTCATTGAGCTGTCACCATTGCTAAGTGTTTCAGCTCCCATCACATCATTCCCACTGTCACTCAGTTCTCTGGTTTTGTTGAGGTGGGCAAGAGACGTAACCACGTTTGCCAGGGTACCAAGATCTCCTTGAGATAGGTCATCCTGCAGAGGAGCAAACAGTTACTATGAAGCCTGTGAATAGTTGTAAAACAGACTTAAATGACTGTAGGATAACTAGACTGTATCAGTTACCTTGTCAGGGGAAGTTGGAATCAAAATGTTGTTTTCCAGCTTGGGGAAGGGCTGCTGGATGTTGAGCAACATGCTGGACTCTAGCAAGCTTGTAGACCTGAAGTTAAAGGGATCCATGATTAGTTGTAACATTAAACTTTATTTGATAAACATATATTTTAACTGTAAAATAAAGACTGTAAAAATACTGTAGGCTGTTTAGTTTTGTAAATTTTTTAAAATATATTTTAACACGGACGGAGCCATTTTATTTACACGCAAAGCATTCTGGGTAAATGATGACATCAACTAGGTCATCGGTGCRAGGCTGCTAGCGAGCTATATCCACCCTGRAGGTTAATCTYGGACAATATCTGAYGATCGDYTCTTTTAAATGAAACCAGAGAGCRTTGACAGAGAGGAGAAGGTAGAAATGACTCAGCCTGKAACTGAAAATATAGATGGAGGACAACAGAGCTGCTTCATGGAAGAAAAACCTCAGTTTAGTCTGTTAGCCTTTGCGCTAGCGCCCACGCTATATTGCCTTATATGTATTAGCTCGGCGCTAGCGCGACAAACAAGCTAAACTGAGGTCCTCCATCCATATTTTCAGTTGTAGACTGAGTCATTTTTGTGTTCCCCTCTCTGTCATGTGGATGGAGGACCTCAGTGACGAGAGGAGAATGTGTAGCGCTGAGCTAATACATATGTAGGTTAATAGTGTCGGGGCTAAAGCTAACAGGCTAAGCTGAGGTTCTTTTCTTGCTGAGGCCAGTTTCATCCGAATCTGAAATTTTCTTGTTAGAATCATTGGCTGATTCAGCATGGAATGACCCATAAGTGATGTTTTAACTGCATTATGTTTTGTAGTGTTTTATCTACCGTGCAGTTTCCTTGTCGGATACAAAAGTTGGTGTGGCAGCCAGTGGGCTACAAAGGTTCTTTCGAATGTAGATCTTTTCTGTGGATGCTGCACAATTTGTAGGTCTTTCTCTGGGTGAAACTTCGACAGGCTTTCTTTCACACTGCACAGCTGGTAGATGAAAGAAATAGCTGATGTTACCCACGTGAATCCTTCTTGTATTTGAACCATATAATCAAAGTGTTGCTGTCTCTTACAGTCCTGTTTCATGCCCAGAGCTTTACAGCGCTGCAGCCGGCAGTACTGGCAGCGGTTCCTGTGTAGCTTGTTAATGGAACAATCTCCTGAGCCCCTGCACGTGTACACCAGGTTCTTCCTTATGCTGCGTTTGAAGAAACCTTTACAACCCTCACAGCTGACCGCTCCATAATGGCGCCCTGAGAGGAGGAGAATATATGAGCTTGAAAATGGGTTTAGAGTAAAATTCTGGAAGAAATTAAATCTTATTTTTCTTAAAACAATAAATCCCACCTGAGGCTTTATCTCCACAGACTACGCAGTACTCTATAATAGATTTGATAGAAGACTGATCTGAGCCATCAGTCACAAACTGAAACATAACATGACAAAACAGAATGTTTTAATACTGTCGAGACAGCAACAGGTTTATGCTTATTATTATTTTTTTAAATGTCTTATTCAAAACACGGCCAGGAACATCATTAGCACATTCTGACAGACCTGAATCTGCTGTCCAGCCAGTTCAGGAGAAGTAAACAGCAGCTGGTTAACCCCAGATCCGTCTGAAGCAGCAAGAATGACTTTGTTTGGGGAGCCTTCCTGCTTGGCCAGAATTACCTTTCCACTGGGCGAATAGTCGGCATTTGCTAAAATGAACTGCTGCTTTCCAGGAGAGGACGGCTCAAGTGCTGTGACAATCTGGATCTTCTGTCCAGTCTGCTGATCAGTTACAATCTGTTGAAGAATAAAACATTCAAAGCATGATGAAAAACTGAAGTTATAACAAAACGCCACGGACGGAGTTAATAGATATGTTCGTACAAACACAGAAGCGTCATCACCTGGATTCGATGTCCTAAAGCCATGCTGTCATCTGCTGAGACAAGCTGAATCCTTTGAGACTGCCCATCCATTCTAATACTGCAGACGCCTTCTTTAACAGTCCTTCACATCAGTGCCCCATGAGGCAACCACACCTGTAGAGCAGGTGTGCAATATTTCAGTAAAAGACCTAATATTAAGACTGCTTACTTTCCACTTTCATTATTATTTTATAAAGTTGGTGAATAAAATAAATGAGACAAACACACACACAAAAAAATAATAATAATGCAGGCAGCCTCGTTAAGAGTGGCTACTTTGGAACAATAACCTCTAAAGTAACAGCAGTATTTTAAACATTAACCTCACTATGACCTTACTCTAATTAAACCTTTTAGAACATAACTGCCTTTTCTGATTGCCTTGACCTGAACATGTTCACACTCAGTAAGTAATAATCAAATTAAAGCATGTGGAGTACTCAGACTCTACTCTCATTATGTAGGTATGCGTCCACCATAATCACTCAATTAAACCCTATTAAAGTTTTCTCAGCTCTTTTAAAACTGCACAGCAGCTGCAAACAAATAAGAGGTCCTAGGTTCCAGTGAAGGCACAACAGAATATTTGTGTTCACAAATTTATGAGAATGAGAATATATGTGTGATGCTAGTGTATACAATGAATAAAATAAAGGTTTTGGTTCGGGGCCAGCAGGGCAAGTCATCAAAAATATTTCTAGCCATGTAAACAAAGTCATTTTTGTTTGTTTTTATTGTGGAAATTATTGTAGATGAGGCTATCTTTGTAAAAATAAAACAGACCTAATAAATGTTCTTACAAAAGATATTTATAATGGTGTGTAGGGTAATGCATGATAATGTCAGTCAAGAACTGTCAATATTTATCAGCTCTTAGCAGCTTTATGCAATCACTGATGCCGTCACATATTAACTGTCGGTGGCCTAAAGGAACCAATAAAGCTAACATTAGCTAAACACGAAAAACATCAAATTTTTCCGATACAGTGACAACGAATAGCCTGTATAAAAAACCCCAAAGCAGCCTAAACATGACACTGACACCCGGTAATTTAAAATCGATACGGAAGATAAAGATATTTCTTTTCCTGTCGGTGAAAGGTCAACATTGAAGGGTTAAAGCGTGTTAGGTTAAAGGCCCTGATGCAGATGCGTCATGAGCGACGCTTCGTTTCTGGAAATTAGCCGAAAATGTTTGCACCTTTTGAAAGCGAGTCTTCTTTTACTTGGTTTGGCAGATTAGAAATGCAGCTCGCGATTTTCCATTACAATCCGCTGTTTACACATTCATCTGAAGGCTTGCGACGTATTAGAATTAGTTAGCGAACGCTAGCACAACAGCTAACGAGGAGGTTGCTACTATTGTTGGCTAACTTAGCTTGTCTGCTAATAATATTACTCTCTTCCAGTTCGTCTGAACGACCACTTGCACACGAGCATACGAGGTTGGTATAAAAACAAACTATGTAGGTCTAGGCACATTCAGAAATATCTGTACTTACCAGTCAATATTTCACTGGACTATGGACGACACAGCTAACGAGCTAAATTAGCTGTTTGCTACTCGATAGCACAGCAGCTTCCTCACTGTGGACCCTCTGCCTTCCTTCCTGTTCTACAGCTAACTCGTTTCTCCTTTGAGAACCTTTCATTCGCACACAGTGGTAATTTTATTTTATTGACATTTTTTTGCTTGTCAAAATTTGATTTGTCACAAACGTATTGCCTTTTGATAAATTAATATTTTAAAGATTTGCTGCAGCTGATGGGAGGGTCAGAGTTCATGACCCTGCAAGAAAAGCTCTGTACGCATGCGCAGTTCAGTAGCTGCGTTTGGTCAGAGCCATTTATGGTGTTTATATTAACATCGACATACAGGGTCTGATTTTACCTCAAAATAGACTTTGTCATCGCTTGAGTTATATTTTGATTGTGTGAAATAAATATTTATTTTGTGTATCTACTACAGTAAGTATACAAATGATGAAATAAAACGAACTGTTTCTGTAACGTTTTTTTCATTGTTTCACTCCTAATTATTAGAGATCATAAGTAATAAACTAGTTAATAGAATAAGTCTTCTGGTGGGTTCATGTCCATTTAAAGTACACAGATTTTTTTTCCCAGTAAAATAGATGAAATTTTTTTAGTAATATAATTTTCATAAAGCAGCAAAATGTGGATGTTTCTTTAAAATATCTTGAATTTGACAATAAGGAAAATAAATATAAATTGGGGGAGATTGTTTTTAATTAACTCACCATGTCAACAAAAGAATAGCACCTCTAGAAAAAATAATTTTGATATCATGTATTTAATATCACAGTTGTCTTCAATTTTATCAGTCTGCCCTTTTAAAGGGTGAACTGTGCTGTTTGGTAGTACCTTGTTTATCACACTGAAGTCAAATTTGATTTATTGTCAAATCTGAATAATGTACAGGACATACACAAGATTGAAAGTGCATTACTCTCTCAAACCCCTGATACAATAGAGCCTCTTTAAACTGTTTAATATTCCTGCAGCTACAGCTTCATGTATCCAGAGGTTTAATGACCACAGGGTTGTAGCCAACCTCCCTGGATGGGCTGCTAGAGAAAAATTGACAAATAGAAGAAATTGAAAATATGAATGGTAACAAGAGTCAAGAACTACTTTTTATTTTGTAAAATCACATCAGTTCTGTTCTCACAGACCCTAAGTTTAAAGAAACAGAGACATACAGAGAAATATGGAGGTGGTTTGTGTCCTGGTGCCGCATCTGTCAATTTGTGCAGGGTATGAAATCTCAAGACTATCAAGGCATTCTGGATCACAATGTGCTGCCCATTATCAAAGTCATGGGTATTCCCAGCAGGATGATGAGCTGAGAAACAGCTAAAAACACCCAAGGCTCAGACCAAAACATACCGTTCTGAATTCATGTAAAACATCTGTGGGAGGTTTGAAGAAGAAACCCTTCAAACCGACAGCTGGAGCAGACTGCTCCTGAGTGCGACAGAACACAATTTAAAACAAATCTGATGTTTAGTGATATTTTAATTTAAGCACATTTAAGTTATTTTAATGGTCTTTTTGTGTTTTTCTTTTCATAATTTGTGTCTGCATCTAAAGGGGTTTTTCTCTTTAAATAAGCGATACAACACAAAAGTTTTCAGTACTTTAATAGATGGTTGAAACTGCCCATGACACGATGACTGTGAAACAAAAATATATAGTCAAAACTTGATAAACTCTGTGGAAACTTAAATGTAATTTACAATAGTTTCTATCTTCAAAGTAAACTGACATAAGTGCACGACATCTATGCAAAATACACTTCAGTGAAGATACTTTTCCAACCGTGAGTGTCCTCCCATTACGCATTTATAACCAAACTCAGTACAAAAAGTTCAAACAATACAAGGTGAACTAATGTACAACCCTAACGTGCACAGTGTCTTCATCTGCTCCAGTTTAAAAAAAGTTATCAAAAATTAGAAGTTTGTTCAGTAAAAGTGTCACCCAACTCATCCATTACCCTCAAATCTGTGCCACAGAGGTCAACTCAAAAGCAGAGCAGTCTAAAACATCTATGATTATTCAACCATTTTAATTCTGGAGATAAAAGTGCATAAATCATAAAACAGGATTTCCATTAATACACAATATAGCATTACTGCTTTACAAGCAGTAATAAAAATAATATAAAAAAGTAAAAATGATATTCGGTGGTTTTCATTTCAATTAATTTAAAATGGTGTTTTATAAAGTTCAGAGAAGTGCAGGAATACATTTCAGGCTTGAGTTATGATAAATACAGCGTCAGATGTTACAACACAGTAGCTTCTTTAAATGAGTTGATCCATCTGTTAAAAAATAAAAATAAATATTGTTAATACTTGTGTCTCAATATGAAATAACTGGAATCCTTTTTTCTTCGGTACCTTTGAGCCGTTTGGACGTCGTCAGCTTTAAACACGTAGTAAAGCTTGTCTTGATGGTAGAGCTTAAACTGCGTCTTCAGTACAGAATCAGCTTTCAGCATGAAGCCCAACAGTGGCTGACTCTCTAAAGCTGCAACGTCCTGCAATAAAAACGATAAATTTCAGACAACTGTAAACAGCTTAAACCAAAGCGTCATGTGACACCGAGCTTCTGATAACAGGTGGTTGTACGTACCTCACTGGCAGCGTAGGTGTACAGGACTTTGTCTTTGATGACGAACCACAGCCTCTTGCTCTGCTTTTTATTGAGCTTGGACCTCGTCAGATACCCACTCATGGAGGAAGTCCCTGTGTTTGCAGACACCTGACACAAATGAAAGGCATCCCATGAAATTTCTGGTCTTTAAAACGTTTCATTGAAATGTTTCCTAAAGTGGGACAAAGCTTTCTGTACCTCTTTGAGGGCTGCAGGGATCCTCTTCTGCCTCCTGTTAAATACAAAGGAAGCTTTGGATCCAGGGGTTACAGGTGTTGCTGAGTTTATTGCACCTGATGAGCAAAAACACAGAGAGGAAGATGAAACTCTGAGAAAACGCCCGGAGTGGCTTGTGTCTTTTCATCAGAGATGTTTCAGCCTTGACAAGCAGAAAAGTTTCAAAGTAAAGCATGTCTAACGGCGCACGGCGGCCAGACTGACTTCTCTGCCTCAGAAGAGTTTCAAAGCACTGGTCACACACTCGAGCAGGCTGCTGGTTCTTCAAATAGGCAAGACGGCATTTATTTGAGGAGCAAACCTGGCACACCACCTGAGAGGATGCAAAAAAAAAAAAGTCAAATTTGGTCGTATTTAAAGAAAAAAAACACTGCTCAGACTGTATTTGCAAATTAAATAAAACCTGTCACCTGCAGCCAGTCATATAAAGTAACTCAATGTGATACTTAAATAAAAGTACAAGTATCTTCCCATAAAATTCCTTTGGTAAATGTTAAGTCTCCTTTAAGAATATTACTTGAGTAAAAGTCTGAAAGTATCTTACATGTACTGTACTTACGTATCAAAAGTAAATATATGAAATAAAATGTACTTAAATTTAAAAGTTAAAGTATTGAGTGTGACGTGATTTGTGTCATACAGGCGTGATGGATCATGTACAAATCAATAAGTTGTCAGAATGATATTTATACTTCTCATCCAACCACAATTACATTCAATCTATCTGCACCATATTAGGGATGCACAATATGTCGGTATTCATATCGGTATCGGCAGATATTGGTCATTTTTTAGAATGTCATATCGGTCTGATATGTAAAACTGGGCTGATACTAATGTCCAATATTTATTTAGCTTTGTGCTTCTGTTTAGGGAGGGGAGCTGGTTGGTTGAGCAGCATCTGTTTGATCGTGATAGTGATATTGGTGCTGCACAGCCAGGAATAACTGAAGTAGAGCAATGTCTGAGACCTGGGCCCGTATTTATAAAACTTCTTAGAATTACTCTTAAGAATGCTGCTAAGAGTGGAATTAAGTGTAAAATAATTCTTAGTTAAAAGCTGAGAGTAAAAGTCAGTTATCAAGCGTCTCAGTCTCACTTTAAGCGAAGTGTAGGAGTAATTCTTAAGTGTCAGTCTTAGAGCTGATGTGCCACAAAGCTGATCCTGGATGACGTCGTTAGGAAAAACACCGGCATGAACCAATCCCTGCTTCAGATTTCATGTTCAAGAATATTTTAGGAAAATGTCAAGATAAGACTGTGAAAATGCTAAGATGAGTTCACTTTCAACACACTAATGTTGTCACCTTGTATTGATAGTCTGCAAATTACATAAAATGTCCTCACATTTGCATCATGAATACAGATGAAAAAATGTTTAAATCAAAAACTCAGCAGCTTTAAAGTTATTTTATGTCTCAGAGCCTGAGGTAATGTTGAGCTGCTCCCTTCTCCTCTTCGCCACTGTCTGCAGACAACACCAACTTTACACACGCAGACGCAATGCGCACACAACCCGCTCCGTCATTAACAGCTTGGTCCGAGAGGAGCGCACTCCCCGGCTCCATCATTGTATCGCGTGATTGTTAATATAATAAACGAAACGTTCAATCCCACCGTAACTTTTTTTTTTTTTTTTTTTTTTTTTTGGGGGGGGGGGGGTAGCATGCACTCAGTAGGCTATACTGTTTTTAATATTTTCTCCAAAAGCCACAAACAAATATCCGCCTTTTAGTCCAACATTATGCTGTTTTTTACCTTTGTTTCTTTTGTATATTTCTGATTAAACCTGTTTTCCACACCTTATAACTGAAAATAACACTCAGGTGGGGAGGAGGACAGCTGTGGTCTCTGGCTTCAGTCCATCTCAGACCCCTAGTGGCAACTCTTAACCACTTAAGAGTCCTCTGGAGCAGTCTTAACTTTTCTTGAGAGTAAGAGTGATTCTTAGACTTAAGAATTTTGATAACTGGCACTTACACTTAAGTCTGAGAGTAGGAGCAAATCTAAGACATTTTCAGCACTTAAGTCTAAAAATCCACTCTAAGAAGTTTAATAAATACAGGCCCCTGTATTTACAGTATCAAAAAAAGACCCAAGTGTTTGTGCATATATGTGAAATATAATTTGTGTATTTGTGTAATATTGGTAAATATTGGTTTTCGGCCATAACAGCAATAATTATATCGGATATCGATATCGGCTGAAATTTTCATATCGGTGCATCCCTACACCATAAATCTGGATAGTTTTTTTTTTACGATGACATGCCAAAATGTACAATGGAGTATTAGGGCCACACAGCAAGATTTTTTAAATTATTATTATGAGAATAAAGGCATAATATTGCGAGATTAAAGTCATAATATTACGAGAAAAAAACTCAATCTTACATGACGTGTCCATTTTATTATCGTATCCATCCTTATTTATTATCCTCACACCTTCTGTGTACAGCTATGTCTCAGGTAGTCTGCAATGACCCGGGTCACTGTTTGATTAATATGCTTTGATCCAAATTAGCTAAGTACACACTAAATAGGTCAATGCAGCTTCGTTTTATAGTCGTTTGCACAATTTCCAAGTCCTGCTACTGATAATTTGATGCTGATGTGCTAAAAGATTAACTATTTATTTTAAGCAATACTAAAGAACAACTTGGCAAGATGCTCAACATTCCTCATTTTAATGCATTGGCAACTGCATGTTTTTCATGTAAAGCGTATAGTATTAGGACTTTAATTTCAGAATATTATGACTTTTTTTCTCATATTATAAACTTTAATCTCATAATGTTACAACTTTAGTCTCATAATATAACTATTCTTGTAATTTAAAAAAATTAAATCTCATTGTGTGGCCCTAATAATCCGTTGTAAAAATGAAATGAAAGGCTATTTTTAAAATAAAAGGAAGTAAAAATGTGGCTAAAACATAATTGTTCCAGTAAAATGCAAATAACCAAAATCTCTACCTCTGCTTGCAGCAGGGTATTCTTTATTCTTCAGGAAAAAAATTTTTTTTATAAGTCTTTATGTGATGACACTAATAAAATTAGGTAAAGGTCTCAGCTTTCCCTGCTGCAGGAAGTCATTAATCAAAGGAGGATGGTAATGTTTTTGTTTATGTATCTGTCGCCAAAATATCTATTAAGCCACTTGACAATTTATTAAAACTTTCATAAAGTAACGATTGTGTACACAACTACAACTAATTTTGTTTTGGAGTCAATCCAATTCAAGATGCAGGCACAGCTCACTGACCTTAGCCAACATAGAAAATTGGTTTAACTCATTCAGTTTTACAGCTGCTGAGCTAAAATCTGATGCGGTAGTAGCTGAGAGTCATTCATATCACATTCTCTGACCATGAGTCATGCATGTCAGTTTGTACGGACCGTCAATTCTTTACAAGGATTTCCCCTCATTTTGCAGGTATACAGACAAATAGAGCAATCTCACAGATTTTTTTCAAGTTTTACGGATTTGTTCAAAACTCACTTTCAAATGTATTTAACATGTCAGAGCCTGAAGGATGTTAAAAAACAAATGACATCAAATAACTATCTTCCAACCTGCTCTGCCACTTTAAATAAGTTCTCCCATCCTAATGTCGTCCTGCTTTGCGCTGCAGACGCTGTCATCTCCCCGGCCCACAGTCCGCC